CAGCTATGGATTAAAACGACTTGCCAACCCCAATTGGCCAAGTGTGATGAGTACAGGTACATCTCTGAAGTCATGGTCAATCAAGACGGCGTTTCTCCAGCAGCAGTGAGGAGGCTCTGGATTTGGATTTGAAATATAGATGACAAAACAGTTTACCCAACAATTTATTTATTCATTGGAACATTACCAGACTACATTGATTGGGTTAATTTTGTTTCTTTCTTCCTCTGTTATTAACGCGACGATCTATGACGAGACAAATGTTTTATTTTTTATCCTACTCTCTTCAAAAACGTTATGACATACCATTTAATAAACAAACATTCGAAAATGCCGTTACAGCCTCGTTTGATCCACAAAGGGTATTTTCTAGGAGAACAGAGTTTTGAAACAAATATTGTTATATTGGTCTGTCCCAGCCACAAAAGGGTACTTTATAGGAGAACAGATCCCTACGAAAAACTTCTTCATTCTTGTCCACCTCAGATATTAGGAAATGCTGATATCTTCTTTATTTTTCAAATCGTTCTTTCTGTGAGAACAGATCCATAGAACAAACCTTTTTAATACTGTCCCTCTCAGTCATGCTGCTATTATCTCATTTTCTCAAAAAAGCGCACTCTTGGATAAAAGAAAACATCCATGGAACATATCTCTTCATTCCGTTGCTTCTCGAAAATCTCACAAATCTTCTACCAGAATGTAACTAAATTCAAAACTTTTTTAACGTCCTCGTAAGGCTGTGAAATGTTCAACATTCATGGTATACATGCATGTCTTGTTTTATATCTAGTGTCATATAAAGGCTGATCTTAACCTCATGTCAGCTCCCCTGCCGTTGGCAAAAATTAGATGTTCACGCATTGCATGTTAAAGTTAAATTATTTTTAAGTATATATCTGATATACGTATTTTTTTGTTTGAAGTAGACCAAACACAATTATGATACACTTCTCTCCACCTAAAAGGAACTCAGGATTTTGGCCAGTACTGGGCTTGGTTTTTGTGCAAGAATGATCAATTAAATGTATTATGATCGGCTCTGATAGATCAAAATTAATAACATTTCACTGTAATTAAACAAGAAGAATTTGTAGATATTTCAATAAATTTTAAAATAACGTATTTAGCAATTATCTTTTTTTAATTAGAGCTTCTTTGAATGTATTCGCTTTAATTACACTGACATCACTCGTGGAGTTGAATGATATTTAGTCAAATTTAAGTTTAATTGATTATTTAAAAATCGAGTATGCTACAACAAAATGTAACTGAGAAAGGTGTAATTCACTCAGAGAAGGTATATATATATATATATATATATATATATATATATATATTGTATAAATTCATGAATCATTCATACAAAAAACAAATATAGAGATTAATGATTTAAATGGCGAGAATACATCTTCGCAAACAATATAAATAAGATACACCAATTTAAATCATTAACCTCTATGTTTGTTTTTGTATGAATGATTCATGAATTATAAATTATAATTGCATCTTTAATTGAAATATATATATATATATATATATATATATATATATAGAGAGAGAGAGAGAGAGAGAGAGAGAGAGAGAGAGAGAGAGAGAGAGACAGACAGACAGACAGGTGGGGATTTGATTTTTTTACGGATTCCCTATCTGGCTTATTTAAAACGGAAATGGATTGTAAAAGTAATTTTTTTTTTGCGAGTGATTATTGCATTAATTTTGGAAAGATAATAATGATTTTTTTACAGATACAAATCCTACTATTTAACCCCAAAATGAAAGGTAAATTATTGTATTCATATTTTTTACAAGGATAGTTTCACGTAAATGAATGTAACGAACTCATCTGGAATTCGAACTAGACTCTCTGAGTTCTCATTCCGAGCCTCTAACCATTATGCCTCCTGCAAATCCGTAGGTGAGGGTAGGAAGAAAGAGAAAATAGGAATTTAACTTTCAACTTTATATTGGGCATACTGGCAGTACAAACTCATTTTTGAATTTTCTATATTTTACTCTCCAATTCTCAAAATAGTCATGACCTTGTAACAAGGTAATCGCAAGTACAAAAATAGTAACAAGTTAACAACTGAAAACTAAGAAAAAAAACAACTTAGGTTTAAATCGTTTGCGAGAGATTAGCTAATACCAGTTAATCTACTTTAAATGCTACATTCCTTTTAATTGCTAGCAGTTCGACCTTTATTTTATTTTTTTGTTTCTTTTTTGATGAATCCTCGGGCGATACATTGTACAAGACTTATTCGTTTAACTCTTTCATTGACGAACTATAAAATTAAAGCAACAACCGCATCTCTGTTTTGATCTCTGGTATTCCTCTTTATTTTTAATATAATTTACTCGGAAAACATAATTCAGTGCAGCTTCAAAATCGAAGTCCCTCTAATCTAATTAGATCAGATAAAATCAGATTAAGTGCCAAAGGCATCCAGTCCATGAGAAACAATTAATAGTGACTAGAGCTACAGGTTCATTATGATGATGGGCACTACTTAAGTTACTATTGGTACCTTTTTAGAAATCTATATTTCACATGTATAGGACAAAAAGAGTTTTATCATTCCAGTATTTATGGCTGTTTTTTCAAATTTATTTTTGCGTTATATATATATATATATATATATATATATATATATATATATATATATATGGACATCCACAGACAGTTTCGCTGTATGACAGCTCATCAGTTAATGAAGGTTAATTTAAGCGTATTTATTTTTAGATAAACATGCCAGTGACTGAGAGAACGCAATTCGTTTTATAGAAGAGTATTGCATTAGTAGCAGTAACAGTCACTTTTTATAAACTCACACCTCTTCCCCAAAGAGATAAACAGTAATGTTGTCCAATTGTTAGATTAAGATTTGAATCATTGCATCTTAGAAATGATTAAATATATCTTACGGTAATTCTCCGATGTTTATATAGCACTATTGGACTCTACTGTGACCAATAAGAATGTATTACTCGCCAAGTTTAACAGAACAATCGTGATGAAATCGATCCTAAACGAAAATGGCATGTTCATCATTAATTAATTACAGCTAAGGATCGAAGCTCATGAAGAACTGAAATAAATTTCGAATATATATATATATATATATATATATATATATATATATATATATTAATCCAGGATCATTTTCAAGGAGATCTATTTAGCAAGAAAAAGAAAGAAATAATATAACTTTTGATGTGGGTTTGATAGCCCTTCCTTTATTTGGATACAGGATGGAAAGAGATGAAGAACATGGGGAAAGTTTTGCTAATCTAGAATCATCTGAGCAAACTTCAACAACACCCGAAAGGCGATTGATTGATTCATTCATTCATTTTTTACGGATTATCAGCCTTTTTTGCATTATTTATAGCCGAAACAAAGTTCGGATTGTATGAGGTTGCTTACAGTATTCGTTGTTCCCAAGCCGCTCCCCATTTAAACACTGACCTGGCTCGACGCAACTTCGGTGATTGGATAGGGAAGAAAAACCTGATCGAAAAACGCAATGTCGAATTCTTCTTGGTTGCTTAGTACATGTGTCTCTGGGCAGAATATAACGTGTACTTAACTACCTTTCTTTTTTTTTTTGATAGGTGTAAAATATCATGTATGTTTTTTTAATCAGATTTTTATGACATGTGAGTGAGGGATTCTTTGATGAAGACAGCCATGAAGCTCTTTCATTAAACCTCGTTAAAAAATCCGTTGCACTAATCCCAGTAAAAAATTATATATTTTATATGATATATATATATATATATATGTGTGTGTGTGTACGTGTATATATATATGTATATATGTGTGTGTGTGTGTGTGTGTGTGTGTGTGTGTGTGTGTGTGTGTGTGTGTGTGTGTGATCATATAAAATATATAATTTATTACTGGGTTTAGTGCAACGGATTTATTAACGAGGTTAATATATATATATATATATATATATATATATGTGTGTGTGTGTGTGTGTGTGTGTGTGGGCGCGCACGCGCGCGCGTGGGTGGTTAGCGTGATGCGAAAAGTGAATTGGCAAGCTGAGTTGAAATTCAAGACTAAACAGCTGCATTCACTTTCACAATAATTTCCTTGAAAAATATATGAATCTCCGCCTCCGACGCCTATGTGGTTAATTAGCAGAAGAGACCCGGCTCCCTGATCTCAGGTGAATTCCATTCTATCATACAAACAACACTGAATTCAAATCCATGGAGAAGTTAACGGCAAATCACTCGACTATCTTTCCAAACGTCAATTCACAGACAATAGAGAAAAGAATAGACATAATCGTCGACGTACAGTTATGCGTCATGCATGATACACGCTTAGGCGATCATGTATCATTCAATACATGACTGACTATGCAGATTTTTTTTCCCGCAGTAGATTGCCATTTCTTTCTGCGGTAGACTAGTTGTCTATCCTTATATTTACCTATAGCTGGATGGAGAAGAGGATTCATACCTTTTCTAAGGTTATAATGTAATGGATTCGACTGGAACTCGGCTCTCCGATTCCTCAATCCGAACCGCTATCCACCGTGCCTCCATGCCAACGAAAGGAGATAGCATTTGTTAAAAATATATGTAAATTCTATTTCCCAATTCAAATACACACACACACACACATATTGTGGAAACTGAGATCAACATCAAGCGACGACAGCAATATTCAGTTGTGAAAATATATGGCCTGAAGATTATGTTCCAACATTAAACAGACTCAGTGTCCACTTTTATATTTGCATACGCTCTATCCCCTATATTAATCAGTTTTACCCATAAATATATGATAACATAAACAATGTTTTTTATTATATATATATATATATACATATATATATATATATATATATATATATATATATATATATATATAAATACGGGTATAATTTTAAATATGTGAATATAGACTTTGTTTAAAACATCATCCATTCCATGATCTATATGTACATAAACAAACGCATGAGTTGCTTTCTGGCTTAGCCCATATCACGTTGAAACACTGGCTCTCGTGCGATCACCGCAGTTAAGAAATTTTGAACCTGGCCAGTACCTAGATGAGCGACTGCTTGGGAATACCAGATGCTTTAAGCTTTGATATTTGAATGGTGTAGTGTGTAACGGTTTGGAATTGCAAATCGGAGAGCTGAATTTCAATTCCAAAAGGTTTTGCTATGCTCACTTATGTAAAAATACACTTGGGATTAAATTTATTCAATAGATGACCCCCTCCATCAAAAGTGGGTATCGACTTCGGTTGCGAATAAGAACCAAGTCTCTATGCGTTTATTTACGAACGTTAGTTACTTTAATTAACCTACATAATACTTCTCTTCGGTTACGTTTCCGCAATGTAAGTACAATTTAATTGCAAATTTCCGTTATTCAAATGTTTATTGTCTTCCTTTCTAATTTTAAAAAAAAACGTTGTACATTTATGCTCTAATGAAGTGTGTTTATGTTTTAAACATGATCTTGATATGAATCCGTAGAATATTTCATTACATAGGAGTTGCCGAATAGTAATCGTTAGCATGTTAGTCTCTTTTGTTGGGAGTTTAATTCCCACAGTGGTACCTCGCAAATTCTGCTACAGCTAGGAAAGCTTAATATTTCCCTACTCTGCAATGTTTCCACGCGTACCACGATTATGGGGTACGAACTTTGTCCCTCTTGCCTTCAATCTGTCCAGTGGGTACTAAATTTTCCATGCTCTCTTTCCTCATTATGTGCCCTAGAAATTATGACTTCCTCTTTCTGATAACTTTAAGAGTCCTTTTTGTTTCCATTTTCTCTAAAACTTCGCTGCACACACGTCCACTCGGAAAAAAAACCTTTGAATGTCAGTGAAGATGACTCCTTGTGGCAGGACACGGATGTACACTTCTCGAATAGCTGGGTTAGTTAAAGAAATCCTATTTTGTAACTTCGAGTATGTAGTGGACATTGTAGTTACTGACGTTATGACCTCCAAACGTGAAGAGCTGCGACTATCGGCCGTCTAGCTCCTTCCTTGCTACTGCGTTATCGACTGTGCAACCATTTCCCTGACTTTAAAAAATAATAATCCATTTACATTATCGAATTCTTATTTCGTCTTGTAGGGAAACATTTCTGTGAGTCCTGCAGCGATAAAACGATGAATGGGGAGAGGCTTTTATCTTAGATATTTTAATATAGGGAAGTATATAGCTAACCAATTATACGAAAGCGAGGCGAGAAAACAGTTATTTATGAAACGTCACCTTAGGAATTTTTTTCCTCGGTAGATCGATGTCATGGTATTCTTAAGCATATTTTCTTTTTTCTTTCTTCATGATATGAGTAAGTAACCAAGTCAACTGTTCTCGCCATCACTTAAAGAAACTTTCCAAAGTTACTGGCTTAATAACTTCATACTTTTTTGCCCCACCTTTTTTTTTTTTTTTTTTTCAAAAGTTGTGCTCATGTTTCTCAAATACTGTCATATTTATTAAAGTGAGGTCAAAAATATGGTAGTGGGAAATCTGGTCTGTTCGAAGGATTAATTTCAGCACTAGATACACTTATAAACGGCAATTAATGTTCAATTGCAAGTTTCTTCTAAAATACCTCTCGCTAATTCCAAATCTGAAAGATGCTTCCAATCGAAGATTGATAAACATCAACAGCTGACACGTCCCGGTCCTAATTGCCAGGTATTTGTTTGGAGTTCCAATGAGTGATTGATGAAACTACATATGTAACGTCAAAGTAAAATGATCGAAATAAAATACGTGAATAATCTATAGCTAATAACGTCTGCGTGTGTGTATATATATATATATATATATATATTAAAACAAAAATATGTTAAAAATCGCTAGACGATTACAATCATGTTTCAACACCACTAATGTGTCTCCTCGGGTGATGTCAAACCACTGGCGAGCAAAAGATTAATTTAATTTGAAAAGAAGAATTCTTTTTAAAAAATAGGCTTATGGGTTTTGCCGTGATTATTCAATCGAATGTGACCTGCACTAAATTCAAACCCACCAAAAATAAATTTATAGGTCATGACCTTAGGAGTTTTATCAGCTTAAATTCCAAAAATATTTAGAAAGATCTAGTTTTATAAGTACTACTGGTGAGCATAGGTCACATTATATTTGTCAATCACGGCAAAGTCCAAGTTTCTTCATTTGAAATTAAATTAATCTTTTGCTCGCCAGTGGTTTGTCATCGCCCGAGAAGACACATTTATGGTGTTGAAACATAATTGTAGTAGTCGTGTAGCTATTTTTAACATGTTTTTCTAATATCCTAAAATGCATAGCTCTACTCTGTATTGAGCTCTCTTTTAAATTAATTGTTACGTACAATGGAGTTATACTCCACTTGTTCTCATTTTACCCAGAGATATATAAAATGTGTGTGATTTTGGAAGCAATCATGCTCATTCTAAACCTGTATTCTGGGATACTTTTAAGGTTAAGCGAGCTTTAGAAGTCCTCATTCCTCTAAATTACAAGGAGAAACACACGCATTGTTACTTCTCTTTACTTAACCTGCTAACCAAGGATGGAAAAAGCAGAGTACCAACCTTTCATTTTATATATATATATATATATATATATATATGTGTGTGTGTATTTGTCACCAATCTGTGTTGTAATATCAGCTTGTATCCCGAATGAATTGGAAACGAAGATAGGTAAATTAATACTGAAATGTAAACCCGAAAAACGTAGCCTGAAGTCTCGTATTTTAACCAGAAAAACCTTAAGCCCTTTTGCGAATTTCTATTATCTAAGCTCACAAATTTTTGATGTTAAGGCTGAACTGAGGTGATATCTAATTTAAACAAAAAAAGTCATCGATTTGGAGAGAACGCTGTAAAGAATGCCTGTGGCAACTAATCAGGATTTTGTGTTGGAAGGTTTTGCCATTTGTAATTTCCGCATTTTTACTTTTTGATTTTGTTTCGTTTTTTTATTTTTTTTTATTTCCTTATTTCTTTTTTTTTTTTATTCTCCTTGTGTCTTCTTTATTTCTAGCTATTATTTTTAAGCACTTTCTTTAAACACTTCCACATTTTCCCAAATTTGAATTAGTATCTTCTGATACTTTTTACTTTTCTTTGTATGGTTCAATTTATTTGTCGGAATAATTCTGAACCCATGTGCCTATCAAACGCTTTCTTGCTATAAAAGATTCATTTTCTTCCTTCAACACCTACCGTCGATGTCAGAACCCAGCTGAATGTCAGGAATTCAAATGTTGTTACTCAATTAAGATAGACCCGCCCCACTGTAATGGTAGGTGCAATACAGTCATCAAAATTAGATTGCTAAGATGTCGTACATGTTAAACAGGGCCCTTGAACAGGCCATACGAGTTCAAATCTCGTTAGAATTATTTGTTGAATTCATGTTTCTTAACGTCGTTGAATGTAAAATGGCTATTTAAGTAAAGCAATTAATCGTAATAGCCATTTCAGTGAAACATTCGGTAATCATAGACCAAGCAGTCGGAAAAATTCTTCAAAACGTAAACTTAAATTTAGATGAGTCTTCGCATTTAACGGTTTCAACACCGACCATTATTAACGATTTTAAACATGGCACACACACACACACACACACACACATATATATATATATATATATATATATATATATATATATATATATATATGGGGGGCATTATGACAGGTGTATTAGTATATTCATCATTTACTGTACGCAAACATTTTCGTGTCTCGCCGAGCATAATTACTCATGACATTCTTTCTGTGATAAAACTTTCCCGCCTAAAGTTTCCAAACTCATACACATACTTAAATGCATACATATTTATTGTATTGGGCACTAGATACTTAAAACAATATTAGCGAGCTATAATAGAAAATGACCTAACGTAACAATCTAAATTCGTTAAATATTCTCATTTCACTTTGACATATTGCGAGTTTACAAATACTCGTTTCCTATCTGAAACTGAAAAGGCCAAGCAACGCTCGAGGCCCACTCCACCATCCATAGCAACTAGATCACCAGTTTCTTGAAAGTTACTTTGTAAATAAAAGGAATGACATGTAGCTCTGTGTTTTCCACGGTGGGACACATAAATTTCAGCAGAATTCTGTTTCTTCCAAAATAACCCAGGACTAGCTGGCCAAGAATCTTCACAGTTGTATCCGCCTAAACATATCTCTTTTGATTTGAATCGCCACGGACATCTACATCAGAGACGTCGTCGAAAGTGAAACCAACCAGCGATTACACATTACAAATAACTGGACTCATTGGCGGCTGGGGTCGTGGATGTGATGACCAAAATTAATGAGCATCGCTTGGTCCGGGTATGAATTCGTTTCCGAGGTCAGGTCACATCGATAACATCCTCGTGGCTCAGGAAAGATTTATTGAGTAAACAGTTTCTATTTCATCGAATTTTAACTTGAATACAATTTATTTCGAAATCAGTAATTCTATTGGATGTTTTATATCTAGAATATAATTGTTTCTCGATTATTCGGTAGACCCCGCGCTTGCAGCACGCACACATACACACACACCTAATTTTGTTCTATTTGTTACTGTAAAATTGGCGTTTCTCTTAGTCCTTTAAATATTTCCCTTTCTGCTTACTACTCCTCCCACATCAATATTTTTTTTCTCTTCGACTCTTGCTCTTTTATTTAAACACGATCGATCTGAAATACAGAAAGCAAAGGGTTTGTAATTTTTATACGCAGTGTTGCTGTGATTAAAGCTTTTCAAATTATTGTTGGCGTTTGAACGTTAGCTATCGTTTTCCTTGAATATTCACATAAATCTGGAAAATACGAATGTGCAATGCGATGAATACAACAATAGTTCACTTTGAATGTCTTTCATTTTAACTTTTAAAACTTCTCTAATCTTCATTTGTTCTTACTGCTTCAACAATTAGAAAGTTAGTTTAGTATTAACATGATTTTCATAAATAATGATTATTACTTTGAATAAATATCAATCCGTATTTATTAACGAGGTAGGCATTGGATAAGGTTTAAAAATTTGTGCTTAGTCATTACTGGGTAGTGAGCTCGATCCTCTTTAGTTAGCCTATACGAAATTCAGCATTAAATAGAACATTTGGAAAAAAAAACATCAATCAACCATAACGCAAAATAGAAGGTTTATTATTTTAGGATTGTTGCAATTAATTAAAGAATTTAACATCTGCGTTTATTATTGTTAACAGATGAGATTTCTTAGGGTTTTTACCACGTTCTAAGAGGACAAATTTATTTAGTAATTTTGCCTAATTACTTTTTCCTGCTACCACAAGCTTAACTTTTTCTTGACTATTTATTGCAATTTTCACTTACTGCTATTTGATTTTTAGTTCGTTTCGTCTCTTCTATCAAGTGTCTGCTCTGCCCTTCTTATACAAAATTTCATACTATACAAGTCTCGATAGGCCCCTTAAGCAGAGGGTTACCGATAAAAATGGGCTGTGTGATATGAATAGAAATAAAGGTAGTATGAAATTAAGATTATAGAAATAAAAAGGACTGTTCATCCTTGAGTAGCGATCAAAATTGAAGTCTTCAGAGAAGTTACTAAATGATAATCTCTCCTGCAAAGTTGCAGTTCTTCAGAACTGTCTGCATTCGGAATACAATCAGGATGATTCAACTTCGTGTAATTGTTATGGCGTTTCCATAGTGTAAATGTCTGAATTAATGGGTCTAAAGAACAGGGCTCGTTTTCTGTTTGTTGTTCATATTTTTAATTTCCCTACATTTCATCACCCATCGCTTTCAATTTGTTAAATGAAAAACGGTACTCGGCTAGACAACTGAAAAATCGTAAATTTACATGTCTGGGACAGGGCCCTCAATTCCCAAACGACACATTAAATTAAAGGGGTTTGTGTATGCACATTTCACTCTAAAACAAGTTTAACAAAACTCCCTTTATTATATATATATATATATATATATATATATAAAATTTCCTTAGAAACTGCGAAGACTACTGTGTAATGTCAATCTTTTTGATCTGCCATAAAGGCAAATGCAATCATGATTTTCCGCAACTTCCTCTATATTTTTCTCTCTCTAAGTTACTTTTGCCGCTATACAATCAATGTGAGTCTCTGTTCTGCCATCCATTCACACAAACTCGCAATGTATTTCTGTCGCTGTCCTCAACTCCTCCTGTTGCCTTCAATATGTCTTGAGTTTTAACTTCTGTCTTCTTACCTTATGTGTCCCATATATTTCCAGTAGTCCGGTTCTTTTTATAACTCTTATTGTAGTTCTTATTACTCTTAAAACTTTCCAGTTGCTCACAAGTTCTGTCTAAACAGATGATTCAGTCTGTAATCCAAGCTTGTTAACCATCGCTATCAGGTAGGAGCCATAATTTTATAAGGAAAAATTCATCTCGCATAATGCGTTCGAATATCATACGTTCTGCGATGTTTGAAGACTCTGTAGCGCCGGTACAAAATGGCATATAACTGTCTGCTTTGAATTCGTAATTCGGAATGGTACTTATCCTGTCAGCTTACAAGTCTTTGAGGAAAAAACGATTCACTCTTAAATGATCAAAACACGGTAAACACCTGCTTACAATGAAATGGAATTTATTCACATTTCTCAAATTATTATGATTGAAATCGATTTTAGCTTGGCTTGGTTCAAGCAAATCGATGTTATTGATCCGAACCTTTTTAATGTATTCTAAACGAAGGCACTTGATTACAGAGCATGAATACAACCGTCATGTCTGGGATAGTGTAAGTCAAGTATTAAACAAAGTGAACGAGTGTATTTTAGTTTCCAGCATGGCCGAATTAGCAAATATGGTTGACACGTCAAAAACTTAACATTAAGTTATTTATATATTTGTTTGACGAGATTGCATTAGATAAGCGATGATAGCCGACTTATCGGCATGACTACATACAGTTAAAATAGCCAAGACAGCAAGCAGATACAATAATTCATTAGATATATGTATATTAGCATCTTTAGTAAGATCGGTACGCATCGAGTTTAGGAAGAAGTTAAAATAGCAGGATATGCACAGGCTAAAATAGATGTACATTGGTTGGGATTGGTAGACTCCAACCAAGAATCAATCGATGGATGAGAATAGTATGAAAAGTGATATGAACAGATTTAAAGAGATCGGTGAGTATAGAATGATGTGTATAATAACAATGGACTACCTAAGCTTCGAGATAGAAATACGTAGAGTATGATAGAAAGATTGCAAAATGAGTTCGAATTACGCACAGTTCTGAGAGGAGAGGTTAAATCGTACATGGATAGGCATATAGATACATAAGCCTTATTTTGAGTCGTGCAGACTGAAATTGATGTAAACAGAATGACATAGAAAATCTCAATATCCTCATCCAAATAGTATATATGCACATATACTAGGGTTTCTTCAAAATAATGGCTTACGCCCAGATCGCGTTTAAACACATGTTCCCGTACGATCACCGAAGTTAAACAACGTCGAGTCCGGTCAGTACTTAGATGGGTGACTGCTTGGGAATACCAATTTCTGTATGATTGGATGTGCGGGTAGTGTAATCTAAATGGCTCGGAATTGTTAATCGGAGAGCAGAGTCCCGATGATTCCAGTTGGGTTCGTTAGATTCACTTACGCCCAAATACCCTTGGGAAATGTATGAATCCAGATTTTCTCTCTTCAGATATCGGTTAATTTGTAACACGTCCTTATAAACTATTATTAAAAAATAAAATAAAATTGCGTACCGAAATATTTAGATTTCGGCATTAATATAACCCACAAGGGCTGATATGCCACTCATCAAAAACATACGAAATTAATGTTTCTATTACGCTAGACATAATTTCAGGATGGATTTTTGTGTCTCAATAGAAGTTGAGTATTACGACTAAAATCCATCTTTTTTTTTTTTTTGTCTAGTTACGTAAAGGCGTTTAAATGATCAGTGATTTCCACCTGAAAAAAAATGCATTCATTGATATCCATTGACGTTTGCTGAACGTTTATAGAGCTCAAGGTGGTTGTGAGCACAGTTAAATTGTGGATAATACACATCGTTAGTAATGACTGCAATATATCTGACAAGTAACGTTCTAGGCAGCTCTTAATATCTATCTACTGATAAAATTATTAATGTTTTGCATATATGCGTAGCCAATACAGGCGACGATGAGGCATCGGGGGGAGTAGTCCTGTGTAAGTAAAAGCTTCCTATATTTATTGTTTTTTGCTCATTGTGTTTGTTGGTGGTTAAAAATCAATGTATTTTTACAATAGGAGTACCATTGTGTGTGTCTGTGTCCAGATATCTTCGAAAGTCATAACTGCTCAGTTTCACGCCCTAATCGTAAACAAATCATTTTCTAAAGAATTAATGGATTTTATATATTAATTCAACATTTTTATGACTTTAAACGTTATTTTTAGTGGATTCCCATAGTTGACTAGACTCTGCTTATTTTAAATAGTATTTTCTTTCGTTTACCGTCCTGAACATTAAATCTGAAAAGAAAAATAATGCAGAGGACACATTTTATTATATATGTGCGTGTTTCATATTGGCAACATTTCGTGGGAAGTGCCTAACATCGGAGATAGTTTGTGGATATAGACGGTGCCATAAAGAATTTAAACTGAATTATGCTTGTCATGTTCTGAAGCTCTCTTGAATATGTTCTTTGTCAGACTGATCATCTGTAAGTTTATCTAGTTTTCCATGCTTGGTCTGATATCACACTTGCAATTTATAAAAACGCATAACTTTTCAATTAATCTTTCTTCTCGGATGTCTTTACCTCATAATTTGGATAGTGTATTTAATATGCACATGTAGATACATCAATAAGTCTAGTCTCATGAAGAAAACATTTTTACACAAACATCTTCAAGAGAATCTCCTTTCGTGTCGACATAAATTCAATTTTAATCGCTTATATCGAATTGCATAGAATATTATGAGTGAACTTTAGTTAATAACTAAGCGTCAACTGATGGACTTATTCATTTACATGCAACAGTCATGACTTTTTATTAATAGGTGAATTATGAACTGACTCATAGACTGGAATTTCTTTCACTGGTATACGTAATGTATAATTTAATTCTCAAATAGCTTAACTGCTAAAAAAACAACAAAAAACAAATAAGCTCCATTCTTTCATATTTAACCCATTTTTTTCTTCTGTCATGTTTGAACTTTCGCTATTGAAAAATATGTTCGCCTGTTTCTTTTACGGGTTTTATTTTTATTTTATTTCGTTTACCTATTTATTTTTGCTCATTTTAATTCATTGATCGGTGTATCGAGTGCAGAAGGCAAAAAATTATCTGAGAGACCGACTTCGTTTTAAAGTACCCCTCCCCACTTCGGCTGGTAGAAATTGAAGACCAATTAATAGTGGAAGATAAAAAGAAGCCCAATGTAAATTACACCCTATCCCAGGTCAAAGCCGTAAACAAACGATCTTCATCTTTTTGAATAAAAAGAAATACAGTAAAATTTGCGATAAAATATAATCCTTTGCGTGTCTCGATCGTCAAATCATAACCAGCAGTTGTAAGCAATACTTTAATTTTGATCTATTATTCCTTTCCTTTCATCGGATTTCTGTTTACATGCATTTATCTTCGAAGCATTAAAAAAAATCCACGAGAATATAAATTGAAGTGTATTCACGTATTTTTACGCATTTTTGTCATGTTTGAAAGCAATTTTTATGCTGTCCTAATTTAAATCATTTTCATTGTTAGTAATTCTTAACTGACTCGCGTGACGGGATTTCTTCAGCGTATGGAAGGCAGGCAAAAGGTCTGTTGGTCGTCTTTAAAAGTGATAAAAAGGCCACCCTGGAGACCTGTAATATATTCCATAGCCAATTAAAGAATTTGGCTGATAATCAAGCTAGTTGGTGGTGTGTCTGGAAGGACATTGTTCAAACCATAGGAGATGGATTTATCCAGCTGGGGGGGGAATTCCGTCGAAGAAGTCACTTGCAAAATTCTTCCTGTTATTCGAGATTATTTCCTATGCCCTACTTGCGAGAGAAAAATACCGTTCCTTTGTTCTAATTAATCAACCACACAAAACCCATCCACGATAAGGGGAAGTGAACGACTTCGTTGGAAAAGACCATCTACTACAACGACGAAAATTTATTGCCTATTTTTTCACGTTGGCGAGGTTTAACCAATAATTCCAAAGCCAAGTAGAGCTGTGAGGTAAATTTAGTGCCAAGTTTGATACTATGTAATGTTTAGGCAAAATAATACAACATCGTTTGGTTCAGCAATGAAAATAGGCGTAATTTTTTTGTTGTTGTTATACGCCGTTGTTTTCCTTTAGTCCTCCAGGATGATTGCTCTCACTACAGTATTATGTACTAGTTGGTACTGCTAAATAATTATACATAGACAAACGTATTATTGGAATTTGCATAGTCTGCTATTGTCTGCTGCAAAGCCGAATGCTCGGTAAATGAAGAGGAAGATTTTATAATGTCCCTTTCCCAAGTAGGGAGACTTTTCAACATTCGAAGTCACGGCTTCCACCTAGTACTGAACACCTATTACTGGCATCTATAAAATCAGTCTCACGAGGCTTTGTGATTGTGTGAATTATTTTCCACCATAAAACTTCTGCACCACAGACGAAATTGTCACAAGCCTCTCTCTAAACTATCGCTATTTCCATGGCAAATTATGTGATAAACTACATTCCTCATTTTCACCAGTTCAGACCTCTACATTTAAGCTCCACCATGTCGCGTATACAAGGTCAAATCCTTCCCATTCCATTAGTAAGGAATCTTCATTCAGACACCATCTTCCCAAGAGCGTCTACTTTGTGAACACTCCCGAGAGGATGCTTCCCTTATCACTAGAATCTTAACCTCTTCAAGTCTCGGGTCAATTGTTTTCTATTTTCAACAATCGCATTCAGTAACCTTATACAGTAAGTGGCACTCGAACCGCTTAGTTGCTAGCCAATAGTTTAAAAAAACTCGCCGAAAAATAAGGTCGGTTTTTTTATATACCAAAAAATATAAAAAATAAAAAAATTTATTCTAAGACGAACCTACTTTCTATTTTCCAGGTAAGTTGTCTTCGACGTCTCTACAAATGAATGTGTATACCAGAAGCCTTCAAGGTCTGTACGATGTTTTCTTAGTAGCTTACATATGACTATATACTTTAATGGAGTTGTGCTTTTTTGTTTGTTTTCACAGTTATCACAAGTTTTATATCTTTTTCTCTTCGAGAAGTATGCATGCTGACACAGCAGTGTTTTTTTTTGGTTTTTTTTTTTTAGCTTTTTCATACACGCTTATTTGCAGGCAAACACTCCAGAAACTGATAGAAAATAATTTCCTGCGCTGAAATTATGACTTTCAGAATTACCAATTAGTCATTTCAGCTTGAATCCTAAGTGAATGATGCCCGAATCGTAGGAAAAATCTTTAAATCATCGTTTGATACTATTTGCTGATCTCCAATGAAACATAAATTGATGTCAGCTGGTTTAAGGTTGAAATTCTGGCCGCTGGTAATCCATTCTTTGTGATAATTAGTACACTTCTCAACTAAAGTCAATGAAATACGCAACTAAAGTATACTAAGTTGCGATGCATTTACATTATATGAAGGAAGCAAATAATTTAGAGCAGGGACAAGAATATTGACAAAAGTAGTTGGTAGGCATAAACACTAGCATATTTACTTTATACCTTGAGATCAAATTGTCTTGTCGCGAAATGTCTCAATTTTTTTTGTCCTCAACTACTGCCAGAATTTGTTGTCACTATATATGTAAATCTCGGAGCTAATGAAAGTTCAGGGGCACTTACGTACTAAATCCTAGGCATATCAGCTGTTGCATGAACAGATGATATTAGAAAATATATATAAAAATAATGTAAGCTTTTTTTCCATAAGTAAATAAATCAGTGATTCATGCTATAGGTTTTCTAGGCTTTTCGATGTACGACTGAAAACATTTATACACCAACCGCTACTAATGAACAACCAAAAAAGAAAACGCTATGCATAGGTCGCCCTCCAAAGAAAGACATAAGATAAAACTGGTAGAGATCAATGGCTGATCATAGACTCAGAATCGTCTATACAATTAAGTCAGAAAACCAAATATATACATAAACACACACAAAAGAAATAAATGCCCATAACTAGTTTAACGTTTGGTCTGATCTGGCAGCCACAGGCTTTGTGGTTGATAGGTTATCTAAATGGACAAACTCCGGCTTATCATTGACCAAGTGCAGGAAACTAGTAATGAGAAAGTAACGACAAAAAATTTAATGGAAAATAGCCATTATGTCTGAAGTGAAGTCATTAACTCTATCCAAACAATCGCGTATCGCCATAGAGATTTGTGTTGGAACAGCAGCAAAACACTTTATTTTTATTTTTTTTTTTTAAATGTTTTCAAGTGTTTATATTCTGAAGTTGATTGTGTTGATGAGTTAGAAAGCTAATTAAAGAAGTCAGGAAAATAACTAGATACGAATAAG